ATCACTACTACTCAAGTACAACAACTACTCGCTACAATTACTAGTAAGCGATGATGTCATTTTATAATAAATGAATTGTCAATCAATTCGTTTCGAATGGCGTTTTCTAATGAAGAGATGACCGACTGATCAAAGTCTTAGGGTTTTACGAAGACAACTTGGGTGGGAGTGTACGCGTCTACGCGGCGCGATACCCAAATTGACGGGTATCAAATTACCGATTTACATGGATTGAAAAGAGTTTGTGGGAGACTAGGCAATTTGGTGTTCGAGCCGTTGACTGTGTGGGTCGTTCTCAATTACGAAATGCAGCAGTTTAGGGAGACGTTTTAAATATGGTCGCTGAAGATCCAAATATCAGTACTCGCCGTCTGACAGTGGAATTTGGCATACCAAAAAGTACAATTAATCGCATCATAAGACAGCAACTTCTCCATCGTTATCTTGTGACGTCTATTCAGGAGCTTTTACTATACTATTTTGAGAGAAGATTTCATGAGGTGAAAATCACGTGAGGTCCAAATAGGGGAGGGGGGCTCTGGATAACATCACTATTGCTCACAATGGGGGAGGGGGGGTTGTTGTTACATATCACGTGTATATTTTCGCGGAACCATGCCCGAGAATGCCTTGCTGTGAGCTGCGATATTATATCACAATAAGTAACGCGCAATTGACATGGTCGATCTTTGCAAGATCGTCCGTCGCCTCGCCCGCGTTGGCTGACAACCGCTGCTGTTTTCTTTTTATTGATTTTCATAAAAAAAATATTCTGAAAATATTGAAGCTTTTTTTAACAAAAAAAATACAATTGATGTTAGATAGGGGGGGGGGCATAGCTTACAACCTCACCACGTATCACCAGGGGGGAGGGAGGGTGTAAAATAGTGGCCTAAAAACCTCACACGATTAATGGATGACCCCTAAGGAGTGTCGGCATGCGATCCAAATTTCACCAGCCAAATTTTATTCACCATTACGCAGAAGAAATCCCTCATGCGAGGCGTATTAACCACTTTCAGGTGGAATTTCCAATAAATGTTCGGGCCGGGATCATCGGTGACATGCTTCTGGGTCCTTATGTCATGCTGCGCCGCTTGAATAGCGAAAATTATTTCAATTTTCTGATGAATACTTTTCCGGTTCTAATGGAAGATGTCCCTCTCGATCTTCGTGCTCCTCCACAGTTTAGTGCAAATGTAACTGCACTTAAATAATACTTTTCCATTTCCACACAAGTGGATCGGTAGAAGAGGGAGAGATGTCGATTGGCCCCCTAGGTCCCCCAACTTAACGTTGTTAGATTTTTTTCTGTGGGGAGCCTTGAAGAATATAGTTTACGCTACTCCTGTGGAATCCCAGAAAGAATTATTGCGTAGGATTCAAAATGAGGCGGACGTAATACGGAAAGATCCAATAATGTTGAGGATGGCTCAATTCAATTTCAATCGAAGGATCCAGCTATGCATCCAGGAAAATGGGGGGCATATCGAACATGTCTTGTAATTCCACCATCATCTATCGTATCTATGTAACTATCATCCAGTTTCAATAAAGAGAATTATGTCTTTCCTAAGTACGTCTTTACATTTTTTGAGTGTTAACAAAAAATAAATCTAATGAAGTAAAATGATATTCAATCCGTCGCATTGCGACAGACTTTAAAGTTGCGACCATTTTACTTTCAATATTGATATCCTAGGTAAAAGAATTGGCAATTATTATTAGAGAAAGCTGCTTCTTGTAAAAGGGCAGATTTACTGCGATACATTTAAAATTGTTAAATCGCAACGAAACAGAAAACAATTTTTTGCGTAAAAACTATGAATGCTACAAGATTTCACCAAGATACTTACTACGATAGTAGTGATTGTAGTGAGTATTTGTTGTACTTGAGTAGTAGTGATAATGATTGTCTAAAATTGAAAAAAAAATTTTTGCGTAAAAACTATGAATGCTACAAGATTTTACCAAGATACTTACTACGATAGTAGTGATTGTAGTGAGTATTTGTTGTACTTGAGTAGTAGTGATAATGATTGTCTAAAATTGAAAAAAAAATTTTTGCGTAAAAACTATGAATGCTACAAGATTTTACCAAGAGCACGAAAATCTCGAAAAAGGACTGATGCATCAATAAAAATAAAATGAATTAATTCCAGCGACCAAATAAAAAGTTCTGGTAATTCTTGTACCAAGACACTCAAGAATTTACCACTAGCCCAAGGCAGATGGACGCGGTTGCTTCATCAAAACATGAGATTTACTTAGGAACAAGTCCACAGAAAGTTTCATTAAAATCAATCGTGATATATTAGGGGTTTCCCCTACCCTTTCTGTAGAGAGATCTAGAACAAAATGTCAATAACAAAAGTTATGCACAAAGAATCTATTCATATTTGTACTATTTAATACACCTGAAGAGGAAACATTTTTGAGAAAAATTCAACTCTTTTGGTATGTAGGTTGCGTCCCCTAGCGGCCGAGCTACGAACTTGAAAACTATTTCCAGCAATTTCTCTTGGTCGATTTATTTATCAAAATTTTTTTCCCGAAGCTCTAGGGCCTATACTTTCTCTAATATCGTATATCGACAACCTTAGGGAGACCCTATATACAGGGCATTCTGAAAAACACTAGCATAAATTCAGGACCTGATAGAATTTCAAGAAATATTATGATTTGTTCCTATGAATCATGGGCGTATCTTTTTCCGTTTTCAAGATGCAAGGTGTTGAAAATAATTTCTTAGAATCTAGTTTTGGTCTTATCTTCCACAAAATTCGACTGAATGAACTGAAATTTTGTTATGTGGGGTTTCTGGGGATGCTAAATACTCTGGAGTTAATAATTTGTGCCTATATCATACAGGGCATTCAGTACAGTACTCCGCGGTAATATTTTAGGTCCTAACGTTTTTGAGGTTAATCTATTTGCCCCTTTTGTCACTTGCTGTTATGGTAAATTTTATTCTAAACAAAAAAGGTTCACTTGTAAGAAGTGCTAAAATTTATCCGTTTTCGAGAAAAACTGGGCATAGTGTGCCAAAGTCAAGCAGCTAGTATCCCAAATTATTATATTTTATTTCAAGTAGGCTTTGGCACCTAGTTACTAGTCATTAATAAAAACTCAAAATCAAAGTTATTATTTTAATGACAATGATAAAAAGTAATAGTTACTTTATTTCTGGAAAAGTTTAACACATACTGAATACAACTGAAAAAAAGAAAAACAACAAGAACAACTAATTATTACTAACAGAAAATTAAAATTTAAGGAAAATAAAATCAGAATAAGTGTTCGAAATGTCCTCCATTTTCACAAATACAAAAAGGAATTCTTTTATGTAATGAAAACAATGTATTTTTCAAAGTTTCTGAATCATCTTTTAGATGGTTGAAAACATCAACTATCTTTTATCTCGGATGTTCTGCTGAATTTATTTCTGTTTCATATACTTTTTATTTGGCATAGCTCCAAACTACATAATCAAAGGGATTAAGGTCTGGTGACCTTGGAGGTCAATGAATTGGAGCACCTCGACTAATCCATCGGTCAGGAAAATTTTCATTAAGCCATTCTCTGCATACTTGAGTAAAATGTGGTGGAGCACCATCATGCATGAAATAATTATTATTTCTTGCTAATAGTCGAATATCATCTTCAATAATTTCAAACAGACTATTTCTTAAAAAATCTAAATACTTGGTGCCATTTAAATAACCATCCAGAATGTATTAACTATTAACTGATTCCCCATCATAGTAGCCCAAACATTTAATTTAAATGAATGTTGAAAATAGGACTCATTTTGGCCCTAGGATTTTCAGTCCACAGATGCTCATTATGAGTATTAAACACTCCTGTTTGAGTGAAAGTTGCTTCGTCCGTAAAAAGGATAGATCATAGAAAATTCGGATTTTCATTTTGTCTTTCTTCCAGCAATTAACAAAAAAATCTGTTCGAAGCTCGTAATCATTTGGAAATAAATAACTTGCACTTTTGTATAATGATATGGGTGTAACTGTTGCTCTTTTAAAATTTCCCAAGTACCACACACGGACACATTTGCTCTTTGTGATAATTTTCTGACACTCACTGAGGACTCCTGAAATATCTAATATATTTTCTTCTTTTTCAGCAGTCCGTATAGTTCTTGGTAGGCCCAAATTTCCTGTTTTTGGTTTAAACGAGGTTATCTCCTAACATCACCTTTCAACATCCAAAAATGTATTTCTATTTGGTAATCTGCGACCAGGAAATTTTTCCGAATATTGCCTTACAGCAGCAAATCTGTTCCCTAAACATTCGCCTAAAGTCAGCAACATATCGGTATATTTCGAGTTTGAATAATTATTACTGTTATTCATACCGTAGCAAGTAGAAATATTTCTTATTACACAAATTAAAATAAATACTTGTTCTGATAATGCACATACCACGTTCATTTGACACATTTGACACAAGCCTACTTGAAATAAAAAACAACAATTTGGGATACTAGCTGCTTGACTTTGCCGCACTACGCTTGATTTTTCTCGAATACACAAACTATAGCACTTCTTACAAGGACACCTTTTTGTTTAGAATAAAATTTGCCTTAATGCTCATAACAGCAAGTGACAGAAGGGGCAAAAAGATTAACCTCAAAAAAGTTAGGACCTAAAATGTTCCCGCGAAGTATACTGCACAGAACGCCCTATACGTTATAGCCAAAAATTAATAACTCCAGAGCATTTAGCATCCCCAGAAAGCCCACATAACAAAATTTCAGTTCATTCAGTCGAATTTTGTGGAAGATAGGACCGAAACTAGATTCTAAAAAATTATTTTCAACGCCCTATATCTTGAAAACGGAAAAAGATACGCCCATGATTCATAGGAACAAATAGTAATATTTTTTTAAATTCTATCAGGCTCTAAATTTATGCTAGTATTTTTTTGAACACATATATCTGCTTAGGAAATAAAATACAAGATGTTCTATTGTCTGTTTTTAGGGAATCTGCATTATCTCCACATCCACATGAATATATTGAAGAATTATCATCTAAAGATCAACCCACTATTGTTAAATTACTTCTAGCTATTTGGTATATAATTATGAGCAGATCAGAAATTCTTTGTTACTTTGTAATATTTCTAAATCAAATTAAAACGGCGACTTTTATGTCACTACCTCTTCCATTAATGGTGTTCTTTTGGGGTTCCCTAACAATACCAAGACCATCCAAAACGTTTTGGATTACTATTATAGCATATACTGAAGTTATTGTATTGATAAAATGTTTGTTCCAATTTGACGTAATGTCAGAAAATAGTAATTGGTTTGATGTTGGATATCGATCAAATCCATTTTATCCTCCAAAGGTTATAGGAACATATCGACAGAAAAATTACGCTTTGTGGGACTTGCTATTGCTACTTGTTGTATTTTTCCACAGGTAAATTTAATTGCCTTTAATTTCACATCCTAATGATTAATAGTATATTACGTAATAAGTGTTGTAAAAAGCATTTTACGCACGAATGGAAAAGTTACGCACGACGCCGCGTAGCGGCGAGTGCGTAATGCTATGAGTGCGTAATTGCATTACACCACGTATTACGTACTATACTTTACCTACGACCACTACTTTAAATACTTAAAAACATACCGTCTGCGATTAATGCAAGATTCCTATTACGTCGTACGGTAAAAAAAATCGCATAGCTTGGTAAAAAAATTGTACAGTTTTCCTAGTAACCACCTAGCAACGGTCAATACAAACAGTATTGTACTGGCCGTTGCTAGGCAGTTGCTAGGAAAACTGCGTTTTTTTACCGTATGTAATAGGAATCTTACATTGATCGCAGACAGTGTGTTTTTAAGTACTTACAGTAGTGGTCGTAGGTAAATGTACATATTAATCCTAACTGCTAAATACAATGTTTACAAACTTGGACATTTTTTTTAAGAATAACTAACTTATAATGATCATAATCATATAATGCAAAATAATAAATAAAAAGGAAATATATAAATACTTAACAAAAAAGTGTGACCACATCACAGGATACATAAGTGTTCAGTGTTGCCACTTTCTTTATCAACATACAGGGTGTCTCACGGTGACGGCCCATTAGAATTATTTCAGAAACTACTTCGATTTGAATTTTGAAAATTTGGGATACCGGGTTTTCGTGCATGCCCTTCTCAACTAAAATAATGGCCATCAACTTGCTTATTTTAAATGAAACACCCTATATATTATTGCAATTTTGGATTCTACGTGTTATTTTAGGTGGACTTTTATGAAGTATCTCTATTCTTAAACTTAACCGTTTTCGAGATATTTAATTATTTTCAAAAAAATTGAGAGAAATAGTGACCAACTTCAAACCATGTGTATTTTATAGTAAGAAAGATAAAGCAACAATATTTATAGGGGGATAACTAGACCCCTAAGCTTCCCATCCATACTTTCAAAGTGGCTTATTTGCATACAGGGTGCTAGAAATTTAATCAGGGTTCGTAGTGGTCTGGAAAACCGGGAATACCGGGAAAAGTCGGGGAATTCATTATTCTTCATAAAAAACAGGGAATAGTCAGAGAATTTTAAAATTTGATGCTTGCAACTGGAAATTTTGTAAAAGCCGGCCCTGAGTTCTTGAAAGAGAAATTTATTTGTTTTGAAACCTTTATAAGAGATTCTTTGGGTTTAAAAAAAAATATGGAGCCCAGAAACAGTTTAATGCATAAACACCAAATAGCATGTAAAAATGAACTACAAGTGACCTGGATTTTTTTTTATAAGTCAGGGAAAACCTGGAAAAGTCGGGGAATTCTATATTACTTTTGAACTACGAACCCTGTTAATGCCGAGTTAACTTCAAACGGTTTTTTTAAATGGAACACCCTGTATCTTTTTCTATATTCTGATACACAATTTTATTCTCTTTCGAACAGTATCAGGGTTCCCTAAGTTTTTAAGTTATCTACTATTTTTTGTGTAATCACCTAACATCATGTAATTTCTTGCGAAGATAGCTGTGGAATTTTTAGCAAAACTTCAAAACAAACAACTAAATTGTCACCAGTTATTCATTATTATTTATTCACAGATGTTGCAATGGGATTTTAAGCAGAACATTTACAGTTTTTAATGAGACATCCCAATTTTCCACCAATGAGCAGAATAAAGTTAAGAAGAATTCTAAAAAATCAACTTCATAATATATAGTAATACACAATTTTAATTATGTATGTTGATAATAATAATGCAAGATAAAAAAAAATGACTTAAAAAGGTCATAAGTGTTCAATATGACCCCCATTAACAGCTAAGCACTTGTGGATTCTAGATATAACACCATCAGTCACCGCTTTTCCTATTTCAGCTGCAGGCAATTCATGGAACGCTCTTCGTATTCGAGCAATCAAATCCTCTTTTGAAGTAACGGGTGTAGAATAAACTTTTTGCTTTATTACTCCCCAAACATAAAAATATAATGGAGTGAGATCGGGCGACCTCACTGGCCAATTCCACAGTCCTAGGCGTCTCACCATATATCTTCAAACATTTCACTTAGCTGTTGATCGATTTGATTGTGACAGTGAGGTGGAGCCCTATCTAATTGATACCAACACTTCCTCAATTGGTCTAAAAGTATATCATCTAGAAAATCTGCCACAACCATTTGCAAAATATTCAGATATCTGTTGGCATTTAAATTTTCTTCGTAGATATGGTAAGAAATTTGGTTATCTTTAATTAGACAAAAAACATTTAAACAAGTTGATGGCGACTTCCGGTATAACCGGAAGTGGTACGTGGACGCCACTATTTTAGTTGAGAAGGGCATGCCCGAAAACCCGGTATCCCAAATTTTTAAAATTCAAATCGAATGGGCCGTCACCATGAGACACCCTGTATAAGCGATCTCATTCAATTAAAAATCATGCACATTTACAAAAATATCCAGTCTTTGTCTAATCTCCAGGCACAGATAGAGTAGACATGGCACAAATATTATTGACTCTTTAGTTATGCACAAATTTTTTTAAATATCATTAGAAATAAAAGTCTAAAGTATGTATTTAAGCATGAAAAACTAGAAAGTCATATAATCTCACCACTGTAAATTTCAATAAATTCCATATTTAAATAATATTTTTGTGCAGGGTGGTCCAATTTGGGAGGAAGTATTGAGGAGCTCCATCGTGTATACTGTATACAGAATTTCGAGAGGAATGCCCTAAACTCTAGAAATATATTCTACATTTAAAAATGATTAAAAACCTCAAATGTACATATTCTGATTTTTATTTGTTTTCAAGTTAAAAGTTGTACCAAAATTCCTCACACATATTGTTCCATTGTATCCTTCATGTAATAAGTGGTGCTACTCTTGCAAATTTTCTTCAAAACATGAAGCTTAGAATGGAACAATATGTGTGAAGAATTTTATTGTGACATTTAACAAATAAAAAGCAGATAACAATATTAGAGGTTTTTAAATTATTTTTGCATGTAGAATACACACCAGTTTGGGACATTTCCCTGGACTTACCCTAAATATCAATAGGTTCTATTAAAAAATTATTCACAATGACAGCCCAAATATTAATAAAAAAGCAATGTTGAACATATGACGTATGGAAATTTTTATTAGACCATTAAGGCATATTGTGGAAATTACAAATTCTGTTGTGAATAAAATTGTTGCGGAGCAGTCTTAGCGTTGTTAATAATTTGCTAATAGTCACTTAGAAAAGTGTACATGTAAAAGATAGTCTTGTTGTAACAGAGCACATAAAATGGATACAATTCTTATAACGTGTACTAATAAAAATATTACCCACACTAGATCAATACCAAAACATAAGAGACTTTTGTATGACATTAAGATGTTATTACTAGTGGTGCATTAACATACACTTGTCTCCACCGAGTGCAACTTTGTGCATGTGACAGATATATACCTTATATTTGGTAGTATTAATAAAAAACAATCAGTCCGAATGAATTTTGCATCAGATATTGGACTAAATAGTAACAGTAGTCATTTTTCGACAACTTTTATTAAAGTAGATTTTTAGCAATCGGGTTCTTTTATCAAGACCATTTCGTTAAAAACAAATCTCCAAGTTTGTAAACACATACAATTGTTTCCAGAAAAGTTGACAGTGTATTTGACCACATGCTGCTGGGATCAAAAAGTGTAATATAGTACTAAAGATTGAAGAAAATGATATAGAATGTAATTTAATTGATGTCTTCACCATATGTTCAAATTCGTATTACACTAAAACTAAGTCGGATATATCTAACTCAAACTGTTAAAGAATATGAAAATAGGTGCATTTGTCAAAGGTAGTGATCTGTCAATTTTATTCAATATTTAATATGGCTCCTTAGTCATTGCTAAAAAAAACAAGAGTATAAAAATTGTTGTTGTATGTGACAAACATAACCTACAATTATTGTAAATTTCAAAATTCACAATAGGTGCCAAAAGATAAATTAGAAGATATCATTCAGAAAGCATATATCGCTTCCATGTAGCTATTGTAATATATCTTTCCCTGTACTGCCGCACATAAAATATTGTTTTCTGGTACCTACAATATTCAGATGCTGACTTTTGTAAATAGGTAAGTTTAATTGCAATCCCACTGGTAAATCGGTCTAAACCATGTTCTTTTGATCCCAGGTGTTTGGTTAGCGTGGTCCCAATCTTTTTGGGGCACTCTGTAAATAAGTTTTCATATTTTAAATATGTTCCAGAGTACTTCTGAAATCCATGGGTATCTGGAGTTCAAGTCCAGTACCAGCTGCTTTGGTTAACAAGGGTAATTATAAATTGGAAGATGGACAACTTGTGCCCTTGAATTCTGGTTCACCCAAAAATAATAGTAAACAGTAAGAATGGCAAACTATTTCTGAATAAATAGAACTAATAGATTATTTAAAATTTTTTTAGGGAAGATACTTCACAGTCAACTTCAAAAAAAAGTGAATTGACATTGCGAGATGATGATAATATATTTTCTATAGAAACTTCTGCAGAAGACCCATTATCACATTTACCTCAAACATTGCAATTAGCGTAAGTATATTTAATCAAATTCTGTAATAAATTCAACAAATAGCAGAAATAATGTACAAATTCATTATGTGAAAAAGTTATTTTCATCACAGTTTCTTTTTATTTTTTATTTTCACGATTTTTTTCTATAATTGTATATTTTTATTTATAAATGTAACATTTCATGATTATACACTTTTTGATAGTAATAGTGTATTAAAAAAAGAAAAATCTCTTTTCTTAGCACTGCCGAAATTGCTATAAAAGCTGATCTTTTTAAGCTATTAAAAAAAAACTTAAGAATTACTCTTAAGAGCCATCCGTTTTGATGAGCAGTGAAACCGGATCAGTAGTGTGGAATGGTAAAGACACACATGTTTAAATGACAGCGTTTACACATCCCATTCGAATGCACCTACGGGATACTACCGCACCTTGTGGCATGGCGAGATGATCGGATCACCGAACAAACAGATAGAACACTTGCAGTTTAATGAAAGCATTCAGACCATCTGACGTGCATATCATCATTACGCCTTCAAAATGTGACATGCATATTTTCAGTAAAATACGTTAAATTCTGCTCATTCGATAAAAGACCCCCATAATCTGGTTAAAAACGGCCATCTTATTTCTACAGAAATGTAAACTATAAGAAGAAGCATTGACATATTGGATTGCATTGTTGTTGTTTCTTGTTTTTCTTTTGCATGTTTTAGGTATTTCTTATCCAGACATTACCCACAATCACCATCACTATCACTTTTTCAGCTGCACTGGTTGATGAGTCTTTATTTATTTAGTCACAGGAGTTGCTGAGGTGCTAAGGGTGCATCCCACTCTGATGTTAACGTCAAGGAATTTTTACCTAATTAGAAAAAAATAAACAATCCTCTTATTCTCTCAAATGACAGAGATGTATCTTGTTTATGTTATATCATGATTTGCTCCTTTTTTCACTGATTCCTCAAACTGTGGTCCATCGGCTAGCTGACTCGGTACTAGCAGCGTAGCTGTTGATGTTCCTCCTTAACAGTTAACTAGCTAACATTTTTTCAGTAGAACCTCGGTTATCCGAATCGTTATCCGATTATCCGCTATTAAGTCGCTGATGAAGTCCATATTATCCAAATTGTGCAACAAAATTTTCCCACCATAGGTGTTTATTTTACCCATTCTTACATATCTAAATTCGTATTGTGAATGAATACCTTAATGTAGTAGGTATGTTGTAAATATGTATACCTGTTAAATTTTTAGTTATCAAAGATAAGAGTTGCCACATTACTTCGAATAATTGAGGTTTTATTATACATATAAATTCATAAATTAATGTATAATAATTTCTCAAAGAAAAATTAAAAGTATTCAAGATAGCAGTGTTAAATTAATTAGTTAATTACCTATATCTGATATCAAAAACCCTTTATCAGTTAATTTGATTATTAGTCTAAGATTAAACTAAATATGAATATCTTATTAAAGCAGTTTAAATGTTGAAAATTATAAATTGCTAATTTACCATTTTTTATTTTAGGACCTCTAAATATGCAGAATCTTTTAAAAAGTTCATTCATCAATTGTTGGATCCAACTTCTAGGGTTGCTGCTGATGTGTATTCTTTTATGTTTTTATGTGATTTTTTCAACTTTTTTGTCATTTTAATTGGTTTTTCTGCATTTGGAGTAAGTATACTTATTTTCATAGTTTCTTGTTATTAACTACTTCAAGAGCTTTTCTACAAAATCCGACAATTCGACATGTAGTAAAATAGTAGTTTCTGTCAAAACTCTATTAGAGATCTTAAATAAAAATAAATCCTCAACACGTTTATATAAAAACTTTAGTCGCAATGATTTTTTTAATTCTGTTGTTTTAATCTAGCATACATATTTTTAAATGGAATACCCTACATATTTTTACACATTTGGTTAGAACGTTTTCTTAATATTTTAGTTATGGAGTGTAAACATGGAATCAAGACTTTTATGGGTTTCACATACAAATTCTTAACCCATTTTATATCCCAAATTAAAGTTTAAGGAGTCGCCGTAGTAGCGCTGATGCACTGGAGAGTCTATAGCAATGAACTTGCTCTTTCACGTCTCGTGTCTTTTCATACTCTACTTACTTACATCAGCTTCACCTTTATGTAACCCAAAAAAAGACTCACTTTTTTTAGTTTTTTTAACACGGTGTCTTCACTTCTTGTATATACACTCCATAATTATAGTGATGAGGTTTGATGGGTTTTTCTGTAATAATAAGGGAGATATAGCATAAGTTTAATTTATTTTTTCTTTATTTATTACGGGTATTTTGCAACCTGTGAAAAAAAATTGAAAACTGAAACAAAAGAATTGTCTAAAGGTGTTTTTTATAAAACTACACAGACCACCTAGACTGGCCGTATCTAATTCCAATGCACGGGTACCAGTGAATGCAAAATCCGGGGAAGTGGAGTGTCTAAGGCAATCTGATCGCGCGCATCTTTAAGCAGATCCGGATTAAGTAATATTTTTATTACATATTAAACATTATATTGCATCTTATGACAAATATTCAATTTTAAGTTTGTAATTCAGAAAATAGTATATTTTAGTGTCATATTAAATAAAACTACAAAATAATTTAAATATATTTATTGTCCTCTAAATAATATTAATTTATTTAATATTTGCCTTTTCGTAGATTTTACCGAATTAAATAATTTGACTTCATGATTTATTCGTACATCGATATACTTTTCACATTCAGCCCTTACAAGTTCTATTAAATGATTACAATTGTTAGGCAAATTATCAAATTGATGTTCATGCAAATTTTCAAATATGTTCACATTCAGAAAGTTTTTTAATACATGATAAACAATTTTATTTTTCTGTAGCCTAGGTGTTCTGCTTTCATCATTATTTAAAAATTTTATTAATTTTTCTGTTTCTTAGCATATTACTACGACATCTCGAGATGGATACGTCAAACAACCACGATCTTTAATAAAAATTAATTGACTGTACGAATACTGAATCTGAAATTAGTTTTGTTTGCGATTTTTTTAATTGAAAAAAATATTTAATTAATTTTCAGCTATCTCGAAATGACGGGAATTGGTAAAATTTCATAAAAATTTAAGACTCACATAAAGTAAATAATTACTAAAAATATTTTACAGTAATTCATTCATTATTTTATAATAACAATATCACGTTAATCACTACACTATGTGGGCGAACAAAATTATAAAGCTAACCCTGGAAACTTGTGACGTTAACCGAAAAATGGCGTACATATTTACCTTTTATATATTCCTTTTTTTTACTTACCTAAAGAAGGAAACTTTTCGCCTCTCTTCACCAACTCGATCACTTCTATTTATACAATGTTTTACAATACACTTGCCCATGATAAAACGTCTAATTATCGAAATCACAGCGATGCGTACACGTCAAATGCTAGGACACGACTGAGCGCTGGGCTCCAAATCAGGCTCCAAAGTGTTTTCACCAAAGTCGCTCTATAAGCCAGTCTAGGTGGTCTGTGATAAAACTACTTTTACCTAACCTCACACTGAAAATAGCAAACTAAAAATTATGCCCACTATGGGTTGTATTCTACCTTACAGGCGCTAAATAAGAATTAAGCTAAAAATTTGGCTAGAAAAATGGCAACTATGAAATTAAGTGACCGTCCTACGGTATGTACAGTCCCTACAATATTTGTTGAGATAAAATTCGAAGAACTACTCTAACAATTTACCACGACAGGGGCGTACCTTGAAATTTTCCCCAAATGTCTTTCTACCTCAGGTGTCGAATGCGGTTAATTCCAAGAAATGACGCAGGAATCTTGTTGGAATTCTCTCTCAACAAATAACATATGGACTATATAATTTCACTGCTTAGCTTAACGCTTATTCACTGCCTGCACTGTTGAATGCACCTAATATATCAAACTGCATTTTTTTTTAATATCAAGCTCTAAACAAGCAAAGTCATATTCAAGGAAGTTACATTGTCGTAAACCATGCTCCAAATTCAAATTTAACAAGAGAAGAAAATATCTAATGTAAAAAACAGTATCCTTAAATTATAAGCATATGCAAAAAAATTCCCTCTATTTGCCAACATTTTTTTACCAAATTTATACAAAAGATCATAAGCTAAACGTCTGTTTATTAAAATGTTATTTAAACGGAGGAGTTATATATAGAATCTTGTCAAAGACGCATCTAATTGAAAAATATTCACCTAAGGAATCTGATTAATGGTTTTACCTACTTTTTTGTAACAATGTGTATATCTGATACATCTCACCTAATGTTTAATATTACATTAAAATTTTATGCTACTAGGCACAACAAGATGGTGGTGTTTCATCCTATTTGCAAGATAACAGAGTGCCCCCACTTTTCCTCTTTATGTTGATTCTACAGTTTATGCTTATAGTAATAGATCGAGGAATATATTTAAGAAAAAATATATTGGGAAAAATTATTTTTCAATTTATTCAAATTGTATTACTGCATGTATGGTTGTTTATAGTTTTTCCAGTTACTACTGGGAGGTAAGTTGATTCACTAAAATACCAGAAGTATTGAGATTTTTTATTATTATTTTATTTTAGTCAATTCAATAAAGTATTGCCGCCACAGATGTACTATATGGTTAAATGTTTTTATTTGTTACTTTCGGCCTATCAAATTCGGTGTGGTTATCCAACTAGGATTCTTGGAAACTTCCTCTGCAAGGGATATGGATATGTTAACATGTTTCTTTTCAAAGGATTTATGTTGGTTCCATTTCTGTTTGAACTTCGTACGTGTATGGACTGGATGTGGACGGAGACATCAATGACTGTTTTTGATTGGATTAAAATGGAGGATATTTTTGCACACATTTATCAATTAAAAGTAAGTATATACTTACAAATATACGTACAAATATATATGTGTCCTGAATTCTAACTGGAAAAGTCTGTTTATAAAATTAACTGATTAAACACGTCAGAAAAAAATCAAAGATTATTAGATTACAGAAAAATAAAAATTTATTTCTGACACAATATTTGTATTACATTTACTAACATTCTCAGTGGTATTTCTGTTAAAACTAAGAGGTGTATTTTATGTCACTATTGGCCATAGATGGAGGGCAGTAAAGGATTTAATTTGGCATAAAAATATTTTCTTTATCGTCATATTTGTAGATGGAATTACAGTGCAAATAAATTTTTCGATCCGTGAAACTGAAAAATTAAGCGCAGAGAATTAAATTTTGGACAGTTTATTCTAGATTATTCTTGCCTGTTAGATTTCCTTGAAAAAAAGAATGGACCTGTTAGATAGTATTTAGAGCACTATTTATATTGAACCCATCTAAAATTTTCAATTTGTCGTGATTAAGGTAGAGCAAGTAAAAAAATCCTTATTGTATATGTTTATGATTTAAATTATCTTATTTCATCTTTATCTTTAATTTTCTATTGTTTTTGATCTAATTTTATAACACCTAAAATGTAAAATTATTTATTTATTTAAAAAAGTTATAAGCAACCAGTTGCAATAAAATTAATAAAAAAGCAAAAAATAAAATAAGTTGGTTTTCCTCATTTAATTTGAATGAAAATAAACCTTTCTTAACTTATTGTACTTTTATCGATGCAGTTATTTATAATCTCAGAATTTAATACACTTCTCATTAAACTGGAAGGTGCATGACAGTTTGGTTATTGCCCTTTAATAGTGTCTATATAATTGTGTAAAATTTTTCAACAAAAAATATATTAAAAACATATTTAAAAAATTATAGAGCACTATTTTTGTCAGGAAACAATAAATAAAATTGCATATATCTGACAAACAGTTGATTTTACAGAGTAATCGAAAAAAAAATTGATCTAAATTTGATTGTACGGGGGTGATCTACAAATATTAAGAAAAAGAAAATGTTTTTTTTACGAAACTAAACTTCTTACTGTCCTCTGCCTATGGTTATGGACGATTTAAAGTTTGTCTTTTAATTTCTAAGTAAATCAAATCAGGAATTATCGAAATCATGTCTTCTGTATGATTCATTATTAAACCATCAATTACTTAGTAACAGACAAAAAGTACCCATCCTATGGATATTTTATGATTAACTTTTTATCTCTACATTATTGGAAACTCCAAACTTCTTCTTACAGTGCGATACGTTTTTAGAAGTAGGCAACAAGATATTAAAAAAGGTACAGTAGAACCTCGATAATCCGAACCCCTGTAATCCGAACACTCGATAATCCGAACGCCGTTTTGGGAAAAATAAAAATAGTATGTAATCAGAATCGCTCTCTAACTGCTACAGTAAACAGAGCATCACCGTAGTAAACATTGCATCTTTAATTTTTTTATCTTTCTGGACAGTATAATTTTTGTGTGTGTACAGTACTGTACTTTCTGTGTGTGTACAAGATTGTATACTAAAAATATTACGAAATTCATGTGCAATACATTACATAAAATATAGTTACCTTACTGTAGCACAGTAGTATGTATTTCATAAAACAAACTATTTTGTACCTTTAACAATACAACGTGCTCCTTATTTTAAGAGAAATAGTATGTCAGTGTTCATTTTTTGCATGCTACTATGCCTGGAAAGCACTTTAGTTGGTAATCCGAACGATTCGATAGTCCGAACCACCCCCGGTCCCAATTAGTTCGGATTATCGAGGTTCTACTGTATATGAAAAGGCATTACAAAATTTTATTAGGAGAAGTTGTTTAGAATTAAGTTTTATGGTGACACTAATTTGGAGATAATTCATAAGCGGTTCATATGATTTTTGAAATTAAATTTTATTTTGATATTTTCTAAAAAACAAAATTTTGGATTGAAATTTATTACACTTAAGTCTTTAAGGATACCGAATATGTTTGCTAATAAGTTTAGACTTCTTACAAGTATGTTGTATACTCTTATTATATACCTCTCGTCGTCTCGCGGGCATGACAATTTTTAACAAAAAACTAAAATATGTATTATTGTAAAATAAAATAAAAATTTACAATGAGGTTGGTTTCAGTCATCTGGAAAGTTATGACATAAAAAGATCTAACCAAATTCTGAGTTTCATGGCACAGGGGACACCTGGGACATTTTTTAAGAGAACTAACGTTTAAACATTCTTTTCTTGAACATTGAACCCTTTATCTGTAACAGAAGTTTCGCTGTGTTTACAATACTCCCGATGATGGCCTTGTTCACCAGGTTAATGGACCTCAGCAATTACAGTATGCATAAGAAATCAATGTTTATTGAATCTCATACTAATGTGATAATTTTGTAGAAACTTTTAACAAGACGTTCTAGAAATTTTCATAACATAAATTACAATGAAACATAAAATAATTTTGAATAGAAATTGATTTTATATTTAATTTTCAAAATTCTTAGTTACTAAAAAATATGTCTTAATTAAAATTGCTATTTTTGACAATATTATAATGTGAAATTTCATTTTACACAAAAAAAAAACACTGTTCTTGAGAAAAACACAATTGACTGTCTCTAAAGCTTTTGTTCCTCAACAGGGTCTCTGAAAGACGAAAGGGAATTAATTTTGGTAAAGGTCTAATAGTTCTAATATCTTAGAAGTGTATTTTGTGTGAAAACATCATTACATCTTACATTATTTCAAAACTTTAAAAAAAATCATTAATTTCAATAAAACAGCAACAAAAATTAATGACGCAAAGGTGGTGTTCCTTTGCATCATTAATTTTGAAACTTTTTCATCTCTTGTTTTTTTTTTTGATATTTGGTCTTGTTTCTGAGATATTTAATGAAATTTGTGGCAGTGTAGCGCCCCAGCCTCGTAAATTGTATATAGGTGATTCAGGTTTAATTTGGATAACTTCAGGAATCGATAGAACAGGTTAAAATAATGTTCATTCATGATATAAACTTATTTCTTAAATTGCGCCGTTTTGGAGATGAGGTCGTTAAAGTAGAGTTAGATATAGTTCGATACCAGATTAATTATTCAATTCACGTGTCAAGCAATGACACTAATCACTTCAATTTAGATTTTTATAACATAACATCCAATACAGAACATATATTTGAATACAAATGTATCTTCAACAAGCTACCACAAAACAACTTGGAAGACTTCCACTGGCAATCACAAACAAATCAACCATTAGTTAGCGGCCAAGTAATCCAGGCAGACCTCGCTCTCCCAAAAATTGATGCAACGAACTGACTGGCGGCGGCTTTTCGACGTCGACCTCCTCTGTTTTCGAACATCATATTTCTAACACTAGGATTTTTTTTCTGTTTTACCCTCATAACTTTTGAACTTAATAATACTTTTAACTATGATTTTGACAAACATTAGTTTATACAAATCACTATGAGTTTTGTTTTTCATGGGTTGCTATAACCTTAAATGAAATTTATGCGGTTGGGGCGCTACACTGTCACGAATTATATTCAATATCTCACAAAGGACAAATATCGAAAAAAAAACAAGAGATGAAAAAGTTTCAAAATTAATTAGGCAAAGGTGGTGTGCAGCTGTTTTATTGAAATTAATTTTTTTAAAGTTTTGAAATTATGTAGGAGGGGGGTAGCACACAAAATACACTTCTAAGAGGAGTAGGTGGTTCAAACATAAGGAGCTTATGTAACATCATAAGGAGTGTTTGTGTTACGAATTTCACTTCAATCGGATGAGTGGTTCAAAAGTTATGAGGGCAAAATTGGAAAAAAATTCCTACTTCAACGCCCTCTATCTTCCAAACAGTGCGATTTAGGAAATAAGTTTATACAATAAATGAACATTATTTTAACCTGTTCTAACAATTCCTGAAGTTATCCAGATTAAACCTGAATCACCCTGTATATGACACAGAGATCTGTTATCACAGAGATAGAAGAAGGAAGGTACACAAAAGGGCATTAAGGCTCAACTAGTCTGAGAAATCAGCCATTGCCCAACATGCGTTAGATGGACATGTAATAAATTTATTTCGAAGACACTGAGGCAGGGTTCTATAACCTGGTGAATGAGATAAAGATGATGAAGACTTTCAGATGAGAAGAACATGATTACCTCTTCTAAAGAATAAGTAATAGCGTGAGGAGAGAATGTATGGTAAACGACTTCGCAATCCTGAAAGATACACAGCAGCATTGACGATACCAAGAACGAAGAACCACACCTACGATCCTGCTGTGCAGGCATGGAACCGCGTATAGTGGCACTGGGTACTTATCTGTATTTATGTCTCTTACCCTACTCCGCAGGACTAGAGGCGTGCGGCTCTGATACTATAAAACGTAATAACGAGGTCTCAAATGGCCTCAGTAATGGCAAAAACTTTTAGAATTATTGGATGCAATCTATTACAGAGATCACCATGAAAGTCTCAGAGAACCACCATTACCTAAAGGATGGTTCCATCCAAAGCAGCCTTAGAACCAACAATAAAAAACCATAATCAATATTAGGATCGGTCTAGGGATTCCAACAGTAGTTTCGCCCCCACAGAACATAGCCCGAGAGCAATAAGGACAGGTCAAAGATTCCTAACTAAAGCTAAATGCATTACAAATCTGTAATTGACGATGACCAGATTGATAGGCCACGGCAAAACAACCTGAAAAGCCATGATACCTTAAATAACAAATAAAATAAATGTAAATGTATTAGTGGCTTCAAATACATTTATAATTGTTATTTTTCTACATAGTCTCCATTTTATTCAAAACACTTTTAATGTCGTGAAGCCAGACTTTTGGGACTCTCTGCATAAAATTTCACTGTGATTGCAGCCATTTTTACATTAAGGTTTCCAACTCTCCAGATTTCTTGGACGATTGAGGTGCAAGCCGTTCTTAAGACATAGAAGAATGTAACTACTGA